CTATGCAGAAAATTAAAAACATGTTTTTTTGTTTTATTTTATTACATAAAATTTATTTTATTATTAAATATGTATTATAATATATATTATTTTTAAATATGTTATTATTAAATATTTTTTATATTAAATAAAAAATTCACATTTTAAATAACTTATATTTATTATTTATATTTAAAAAATTATATTTATGAAAATTTTTAATATAATATAAAATACATGAAAATTTGATGGAATTTCTTTTATACAATTTTGCTTATACACTAATTTACATTTTATTTAGATACTTCCTTATAATATTATGTATTTCTTTTCCTAGAATAAGGGATTTAAAATTTTTCCATAAACAGTAAAATAACTGTAACTACAACAAAACATTCAAAATTTTATAATGCAAAAATAAATTTGCGCTTGCCTGCGTGATCATCACAGCTCATACAGGTCAAATAATTAGGCATTAATAAGCAAAACTCATTTTTCCATAACTAATTTTCAAGATTTTAATTTGTGATTTTATTGAAAAGGAAAATGAAAACTTTTATAAAATTCCATTACTAATAAAATCCATCAATATCAATATTTTCATATTATTACGTATATATTTTATATTATATTAAAAATTTTCTCAAATATAATTTTTTAAATATATATAATAAATATAAGTTATTTAAAATGTGAATTTTTTATTTAATATAAAAAATATTTAATAATAACATATTTAAAAATAATATATATTATAATACATATTTAATAATAAAATAAATTTTATGTAATAAAATAAAACAAAAAAACATGTTTTTAATTTTCTGCATAGGATAAAAAAAAAACAAAAACGTACAAACAAAGCAAACGCTTTCATCCCTCAAATAATTTGTGTGATGCACGTTTGTTTGCATTGTGCGCTCTCACTTCACCTTTTGCTTACGAAGTCTTCGAAGTCTTCGAAGTTTTTCACTACATTTAAACTTCGAAGACTTCGAGAACAAAAATTCACAAAAACTTCGAAGTTTTTTTCAACTTCGAAGACTTCGTTTACTATTCGAATATTCGAATTTCTTCGAATACTTCGTAAATTCGAATATGAACAGCACTAGTAAATACCAACATTCGTTGCCATATCGACATAATTTACTATTTCCCTCAATATACCATCAATTTACTCGAACTGGCACAAGGAAGTTTTGAAAAGATATTTAGTCGAAAAAGTGGAAAATGAAATGGTATAAATATAGATTAAAAATAAAAGTTATTTTTTTATTTGCAATAATTTTCTTTTTCTATTTGCTACTTATTCAATCGATGCAGAACGGAAATAAATGTAATAAATATTAAAAATAAGAATTTGATATTATTATTAATACGGCATTTATACTGACCGAAAATAGCTGATTTTGGTCAAAAATCGTAAATGAGAAGCGAATGGCTTATTCTTGCATACAAAATTTCAAGCGCGAATGCGCTCGAATGCGTTCCAAATATGTTCCAACACAAAGGAATACATTGAACATACCGTAAATAAAAGCTCTTCATGGCATTTTGGCAGGTTAAGAAAGCTGTTTTTGACATATTTACAAAAAAAATGTAAACAAATATTTGGTGGTTGCATTTTCTTGAAAACGATGCACCTCTTTTTAGAATTTCTACTTCCCATTCTTGAATACAAAATTTCAAGGGCGAATTAGCCATTCCCTTCTAATTTTCGATTTTTGACCAAATTGAGAGATTTTCGGCCAGTATTAATGCCGTAGAATTTAAAAATATGTTTTCAGTATATATTTTAAGGTTTAAAGGCATATTTAACATTCATGCAACATTTTTTTCAAATCAAATCAACAGGCAAGTTGAAAAATCAGCTGTTTGAAATGAGAACTAACTAAAGTGTAAACACTTACAAATGGCTTAAAATGATTCAAAATGAGCTATTTTCGGCCAATGTAAACGCCATATATGATCTGTTTAATATTTTCATTTAGTATGTTCAGTGTAAGAGTTTTGCAAAATTCAATTAGTATATTGCATTTCAATGACAATAATTTTATTATTGTAATAAACATGCGATAATTGTATAGCATTTATTGGCATTTTTCAATTAATATTATATGTTAGAAGAAATGCCATTAACAATACATAATATTGCAATTTGTTTATTTATTTGTTTAACGCTTATAATTTATTGTTTGTAAAGCGGGCTATCATTATACGCTGCCGATTAAGTTGCGTTCGAATTGTATACGATAATATAAAATATTTTCTTATATATATACATATGTATATACTTATGTATATATTTCAGATACATGAAAATGTGTCTGTGTATATTTTTACGAATTATTAACAAATTAATAATAATGTGTAAACAACAATAAACGTAAGGCAATAAACAATAAACGATGGGTTACGAAGAAACCTCGCAGTTAATAGAGAGCAAAAGTGTTCAATTAATTATATTAAACTAATCATATTATTATATTTTTTTAATAAAATTACTAATTCTAAATTCCAAAGACTAGTTTAATTTTTTAACATATGAAAATATACAAATGTATGCGTACAATTATACAATTTGTTATAAATTTTTTTACGAATTTTTTTTTTTAAACACGAAGTTTCGTTTCATAACTTATTTAAATCTTAAATTTGTGCTGTCAGTTTTATTCAAGACGATATTATTGTTTTTACTTTTCTTCTACAAAGAAATTATATATCATTTTTGAAAACTTGCACCAATCAGAAACTCACAACAAAATACGCTATAAACTAGAAGGCGTAAAGAGTCCAACTGTATAGAATTTTTACCTTTCACTCATCAACGCGATAAGGCATTGTGAGGTTAAATAAGCTGGCAAGAAAATCAATTAAGTTGTTCAATTCTACAAGCCGGCCGTATTTGTTTCTTGGTATTTGGTTGTAAATAAATCAGATAAAGTCATTAATTATTTATTTTTGAGCAACGTTTTAGTCTGATTTATTTCAAATAAAATGCTGCGCATTTTTGTTTTATTATTTTGCGTTGCAATAGCGCTTGCCGCTGAACAAGATGTTTTGGAGTTAGGCGATGACAATTTTGAATCAACATTGAAATCTCAAGAGACTACGCTGGTGATGTTTTACGCACCATGGTAAGCATATTTAAATAGCAAAAATGCGATAAGCGTGTGAAAGTACAGATTCTGTAAAAGAACATCACATGTACACGTCAGCACAACTTTCTGAGTTAATTGCTTTGTACGCTGTTAACTAACATGGAACATCAATTCAGTATGTACATACATACATATATACATAAATAAATACAAATGCATATATACATTTATTTTATTTTGAATTTATAAATTTTATTGTTTGGTTTGTTATTTGATAAGATAATACTAACATAGATTTTTAATATCAGAACATATTTTTATATATCTTTTTTTTTCCTTCTGAATTGTTTTCTGTAGGTGTGGTCATTGCAAAAGACTGAAACCAGAATATGCCAAAGCCGCAGAACTCGTTAAAAATGATGATCCTCCAATCACTTTAGCCAAGGTAAGAAAAAACTACTACATTTTACTATATCTTTATATTAGCTTATTGTGGTGCAATTATACTATATATAAACTGCATATATAGCAGTAAAATTACATTATCCTTCCTGCATGATAATGTTGTTGGTAACAGATTTAGGATACTTACTATTTTAACTACAAAGGATTTAAACTATTAGGAAGGCAGAGATCAATCTGTCATATGACCTTTAATTATTCAGATTCAGCATAATTTTATAGGCTTGGGGAAAAAGAACAAGGTTTTATAAAGGTACATGCGTATATTGTTGTTGTTATAGTAACCCGCTGGGATTTAAAAGCAGATAACATGAAATGATTTACAAGACGAATCGTTAGGTTAGGATGTGGATGAGTGATGCGTAGAATGTTAAAATGTGCAGTAAACATGTAGCCAAGATAAAAGGGGCTGCGTCTTTAGTTCCTCAAGCTGAAATGTATCAAATGACTGCATGTATATATATATAGTTCTTTACTATTAATGAAATTAACATTATATTATAGACATTAATGGTTAACAAAACTATAGTCAATCTAGCACGGGCCTGCCTTACGTTATATATATTGACCTATATTAAAAATTTGAATAGGTCTATCCATTGAAAATATATTTGGTGGTTTAATTCATAAGTTCTGTATATATATTATTATATGCACATGTATAAATCAGTTGTTTAACAGAGATCTGAACTGTTTTATATTTACTTTTTTGTACTATATATATTTAAAAAAAGAAACAATTTTTATATTAGAATATATCTAATAAAAACAATATATATATATATATATTTTAATATATAAAATAAATATTTATATTAAATATTATGGTAAAGAGGTATCGAGAAAGTAGTGAATTACAACAACAAAATTTTATATTATTTTGATTAATTAAATTTTTGGTTGATCACGCAGTTGTATCGAATATTGCCAAATACGCATCTATAGTTTTTTTGGAAACATTTCTTGTATTTAATTATTCATGAATATTTCTTAGAATTTATGTAATATAAATTTATAAATAGAGGCTTGGTATATATATATTATTTACACGTAAATAAATTTAATGAAATTGGTTACTTGACAGAGATTTGAACTACTTTTATATATTTTTTTTTATAAGTTTTAATCTGCCTAAAAAAATCGATAGCTATAAGTAACTAATTAAGCTTTTCAGCCCTAGTAGCCTTGACCTTAAGTTAGAATATTGTTTAAAAAAGCATATAGTGTATAAATAAATAAGAAACATCGGTTTTATATTAGATTAATATGCCACATATAGTTTTTTAATAAGCGAACATATCTATAACAAAATATATGTGTGTATATTGAAACTAAAAATATAAGATAACGAAAATAAATAATATAGTATATTATGTTTGCATTTTATGAACATATCTTATTCAGTCTAGATAAAACATGTGATTTTTAAGTTATTAGTAATATATAGTTGGTTGGTTGCAGTGGTAGATCATCAGATAACTTCCATGTACCTCAGTTAGCGGTTTTTCGCCGTTTTGCTATCAGTTTTATCAGGTTTATCAGTTGAGCAATGAATTTGCCGATATAAAAATAATAGTGTTCAGAAAGAAAACCAGTAACTTTGTCTATAGACCAGACTATCGATAGAAAGAGAAAACAAAAAAAAAAACATTTTTGGATATCCAGAGACATAAGCGATTAAAACTTAGCCTATTTTTACTTGTTCAAAATGCGGAATCATTTTTTTTTTTTTTGAGTCGTGCAATAGCCTATTTGTTGTTGACGTGTTCCTTCGAACAAAGCTCACTAGCGGGTACCGAATGAAACACTTTTTTCCATTGACACGATATAGCTTATACAGCTAATCGTTCTATTCAATTTGATACTAGCTAGCTACCAATGCGTTAGGGACCATTGATCTTCTAAAAAATTTTTCTCTCAAATACTCCTAATGCTTTCTCATCATTTTTGATTATTGCCCAAGCTTCTACATCATCCAACAGGACAGATTAGAGACTTCTAAAGCATGATTTCTATATATCGAGAGAGGGTTTTGGTTTTTAATTGCCTATTTAGCCCGAAAAACATCTGTTGGCAAGAATGATTCTTAGTTGAATATCTATTCTGAAGTCATTTTTAGTGTTCACTCTGAACCTACAAAATTTTAGAGTCTAAGCATACCTAACGATAAGTCAAGTCATATTGATTTTTTGTAGAAAGAAATCAAATTTTATAATTCAATTGTAATTTGTGTCTGTATCACCGGTTACCAAAATGTTAATAATTTATGAAATATGTGACTCATAAAATACATTCTGGGAACACTATAAGAAAAAAAACAGGTTTTACGGTTTTGAGCTTTCATTTGGTAGAAACAGATTATCAAATACCAACTATTCCGCGTAATTTAAAAAACTTGATGAAATAAATAAACTTATTCACATATAACACCAGATTTTTTTCGTTTAAATAATAACGCAAATATATAGTAGTAACGATTTGTGTATGATATGTTTGGGTAAAAAAAGTGTAAAGGATTGTATAGGAGCAGAAGTGGATTATAAATGCGCAGGGTTTTAACTAAAGTTAACCTGAGTTAAGACGGAGAATGCGAGCTATTGGAATAATTTAGACCGACGACAGATATGGATCCACAGACAATGACCAGTTGTCAGTTAAATTCAGACGGTCGGTTACAAGGAGAAGACGACCTGTTCGTTTTGATCCAGTATAAAAAAAATTCAATGTCATGTCAAATATTGTTTTAGTGGTTTTGAAAATTAGATTCAAGAGTATTTTGGAAATATATAATTATTATTGAATAGTAGGCTATTCTTATTTAATTAATTGTATTTATCATATATCAAACTCAAGATATTCATTCACTTTTTTGACTTCGGATAAGAACTTAATAAAGTTAAATTGGTTAAAATACAAACTACCTGTAGATTAAGACATGAAAAGATTATGGGGGTAGATCTGCAGTTAGTGTCCAAATTTGAAATTGAAATTTAAACTGTTTATCACATGACTTTATCCCTTTCTCAATTGAGCTAGGACCGTTCTTGTTGTACAAGAAGGGTGTAACTCTTCCCTAGATATAATAACTGTAGGCCTTTGGTGAACTTTGTTGCTATGCAATCGTGGTACTGGGGAGGAAACTGTGTCTGTGTGTAGTGCTGTTCAATCTCACTTATGTTACGTTCACTGGAATAGGTGTGGATGTACACATGATGTCAAGAAATGAATCACCGCATACATTGCGGAGAAAAGGTTCTACTGTTCTAATAATATTAGAAAATGTTTCTGAGCACCACTTAATGAGATCAGTATTGGTTAGTTATTTGGATAGTTAACTTCCTTACTCTTCACTTTACTCAGATGTGAGTTGTGTATTCATTAACTAAGAGCACAAAAAATAGTGGCATGATTTAGAAAAAAATATTATCAGGCTTTAACTAAAAAAAAGCAAAATGACACAATTAGAGAGCTTAGTAAGAAAATAAGCAAACGCTGTTGTCTGTTTAGTCAGTATAACATTTTATAATTTGGATTTCTTTCAGTTTTAATAGAAATAAATAAATAATTTATTCTTTTGTTTATTTTTCATAGGTTGACTGTACTGAGGCGGGTAAAGAAACTTGTTCTAAGTTCTCTGTTAGTGGTTACCCAACACTTAAAATATTCCGCGGCGATGAAGTCTCCCAAGATTATAATGGACCACGTGAAGCAAATGGCATTGCTAAATATATGCGTGCTCAAGTTGGTCCAGCTTCGAGAGAAATAAAATCAGTTGAAGATTTGAAAAAGTTCCTAGAAGCCAAAGAGACAACTATTTTCGGTTACTTCGAAGATACCGATTCTCAATTGGCCAAACTCTTCCTTAAATATGCTGATAAAAACAGGGAAAAATTCCGTTTCGGACACTCAAGCAATGCTGATGTATTGAGCCAGCAAGACGAAACGTAAGTCGAAGACTAGTCAAACATGAAAAAAAAAAAACAAAACAAAAATCACTCAATTTTAATATATTTCTTAAGGCAGTTTTTATGGTGTTTTTATTGCACTTGTTTCTTTAAATAAAAGTAATACACATTAATTTATATTTTCATCATTTTTGTTAGTGATGCTATTGTGCTCATACGCGCGCCACATTTAACGAACAAATTCGAGGAATCCAAAATTCGTTTCACTGGTAGCTTGTCAGAGTCATCTCTGAGCACATTTGTTAAGGAAAATTTGTGAGTACAAAAAAAAAACAAATATTAATACTAATATGTTTATAATATGTAAATAAATTTTATAGCCATGGACTCGTTGGTCATCGTACACAAGATAATGCTCGCGATTTCCAAAATCCTCTTATTACTGCTTACTACACAGTTGATTACGTTAAGAATCCAAAAGGAACAAACTACTGGCGTAATCGTATATTGAAGGTAGCCAAGGAATATATAGGAAAATTGGGCTTTGCAGTCAGTTCAAAGGATGACTTCCAGCATGAATTGAATGAATATGGTTATGACTTTGTAGGAGACAAGCCAGTTATACTTGCACGTGACATTAAGAACATGAAATACGCCTTGAAGGAGGAATTCTCTGTAGAAAACTTAAAAGATTTTGCTGATAAACTGTTAAATGGTGAATTAGAGCCATACGTAAAATCAGAACCCATACCAGAAAACAATGACACACCAGTCAAAGTAGCTGTTGCACGAAACTTTGATGACGTTGTCGTTAATAATGGAAAAGATACATTGGTAGAGTTTTATGCTCCATGGTGTGGTCATTGTAAAAAATTGACACCTATTTATGATGAGCTTGCTGAAAAATTGAAGGATGAAGATGTAGCTATTGTAAAAATGGATGCTACAGCTAATGATGTGCCACCCGAATTCAATGTACGTGGATTCCCAACACTATTCTGGTTGGCAAAGGATGCCAAAGATAAGCCAGTATCGTACAATGATGGGCGTGAAGTGAATGATTTCATTAAATACATAGCCAAACATGCTACAAAAGAATTAACTGGTTATGATCGCAGCGGTAATCCTAAGAAGACCGAGCTCTAAGTATTTTGTTGTACAAGTAATAACAAATTAGTAATAATCATTTGTAGTAGCAGCAAACGTTAACTTCAGCATACATTTCCAAATATATAGTTTTGTACTTTCATATTCTCACTTAAAACTTATTATTACTTAAAATTCGTTCATAAGTACTGCAAGATTTTCTCAATGATGAAATAAGTGTAAAATAAAATTTTTGTAACTAAATAATTTCATGTTTATAACGTATATTTTTGGGTTTTGTATTTTGAATTAAGAAATACTCTGTAAACTTTAAAATATAATAATTAAAATTTAACACTCTGTGTGTGTTTAAAACGTATGTTGGCTTTTTACTGCAGTTATATACCAATCAGGTAAAAATGAGCTGGGACTCTTCCCCTCGGTTTTTTTATAACTAATATGTCTATTATCAGAATTGTAATAAAAATCCACTACAGTGTGTGGACAGTTTAAATCACTCGTTTTTTCCTTAATGAATTTCAACATAAATGTTAAAAATTCAATGCAATTATTGCCACTCCAATAATTCTGCAATAAAAAATTTAAATGTTACATGAGTAATATCTGATATGAGAAATCATTTCTACTTACTTGACCTTGTTTTATTAGTGAATTTACTTCAACCTCCTCAATGCTATCCACAAGCCCATTATCGTTCCGCAAGCCAACAATGATTTTAGAAACTCCAACTAAAAAGGATTGACACCACCATGTACGCGTCTTGATGCAATTATATGTGCGTTTTTGGTAAAAGCTTAAATCCTTTTTACGTACTTTAAGTTCAATAAAATTCATTGATGATAATTGTTCTTTATTGGGGCGTGCATCACTGACACAAAAAAAAAATTAAAAATTAATTATTAGTTCAAAAAAAATGTATTCTTTTATTTTTTGCATTGTATATGTATTTTGTATTCATAAAAAATTTATTTATCTTTTTAGTATAACCGCTCTTGAGTAGTTATAGCAATTAGTGAAGTTATAGTTCACGTTGAAGTGTTACCATATAAGGAAAAACTCAGAGATTAAAAACCACGTAAAACCTTTGGCAAAGCTTATAATGCTCTTTTTAATTGGAAGTCTTGTAGTTTACATGGCTACAATAAGTTGTGAGTAAACTTATCACAAGACGTATTTCTTATCTTATCACAAGACTTCTTCTTTATGGAACGTGCCTAAATTACACACAAATACTTTACCTATATATCGTTGGTCTTCTCATCTTTTATTAAACAATTCAGCACAAAAAGAACTTAGCAGCAGCTTGCATGATGTCAGCAAATTGCTGAGATATATAAAGAGTAGATATATGTATATTTATACTAGCAGATAGCAACAGGTCATTATTAGTGATCAAGTGGTCTTTAGTGTGTAAGATCACAACTTCAATCTGATCCAATCTAACTAGTTAACTTAATTCAAAGTACTTAAAATCGAAGTACCAAAACTATGGTTTTTATTTGTTACGCATCTCTGAACTCTGGAAAATCTTTATTTAAAAAAAAAAAGTAGCTCATCACATGGAGAAATACCTAAATTATAAATTATTATGCATGAAATCTCTTCTATTTATTAAATCATTGTAAAATGTTACAGCATTATTGCAGAATACGTATGAAATATTAAAATGAAAAAAAAAAAAAAAATTTGAATTCAGTTCAAATATATTTAAAAAGTCAATATTGT